CCCTCTTTGCCTTATTGAGTCGAATGAGGCGAGTAGTTTCACCTCATTGAGTGGAATGAGGCCAACCCATTTTCATCCCCAAGACAGGCTGGGGTGGGTTGGGGGGCCCCTCTTATTCGAGTCAACGAGGGGTAATCTGTTATACCTCGATTCTCTCCTAGACAGGGTAGGGGGTAGATAGGGGGTTGGGGGTCTCATTGGATTCAATAATGGGGCGAAATCGCGAACGTTGTTCCTCTCCTCTCCGTCTCATCATCCCCCTTCTCCAAGAAGAATCCATCATCTGGTTTCTGACTTCTTCCCCTCCTGTTCTCCCATTAGCTCCTCCTTTCCTTCTTTCTCTCTCCCTTTTTTCCTGTCTGTCTGGCTGTCTGGCTGGCTGGCTCTCTTCCTTTCTCTCTAGCCGTCTGTGCTTCCTCTCTCCCTTCCTCTCCCTTTCTCTCTCCCTTTCTCTCTCCCTTTCTCTCTCCCTTCCTCTCTCTCCGACTCTCCGGGTCTACTTGAATGTTCTGAGACCATCTCTCTTGTGTCCCTCCTCTTCCATGTCCTCTCTGGTCTGCTTTTCCCTCCCTGTCCTGCTTTTCTCTCCTCACTTCTCCTCTTCTTTGTCGCCCTTCTATCTCCATCCTCCATGAAACAGATGTATTCTTTTCGTGTGTGGATTAATCTCAGAGTGTCGCTGTGTGGACACGTGGCAATGTTTTCATGCTTGTTCTTTTTTTGTTCTCTCCGTGGAACGATCAGATTCCAAAGTGTACTACAGTAAGTGATTTTGACAACGATGATGATAACGATGATGATGACAGTGATAATGACCGTTCACGCACGCTCCTTGTGTTTTTTTTTGGTTGTTTTGTTTTAGCTGATCGTTGGCTTACAGTATTTGTATTCGTTGTCTGTTCCGTTCTTTTCCTCTCCGTTTCCTGCTTTTCTCTCTCGTCTTCTCTTGTCGTTTTCCTCCTCGCCACGTGTCTCTTCCTCGTCGCCCGTGTCCATTACACAGGTTATCCTTGTCGGATGTGGATTGATGGCAGTGTTTCTTTGTGGACACGTGGCGCGCGCTCTGTGCGGCCTCGTGGTCGATGAAATTTCGTGAGTGGACACGTGGCCAGTGATGTTTGTACATGCATCGAAATTTTACGCACATAACAAAGGACCGGAGGCTTGATGTGGACACGTGGCCAGTGATGTTTGTCGTACATGTATCGAAATTTACCCACCTGCCTATCTTTCTTGATTGAAAGGGTACCCTTTGTAAGAGGGAAAGCACTGACAATCGCATCAGTAATCGGGAACAAAACAAAGGGGCGAAGGGTAGGGTAGAGCACGGTGCCGCATATATAGAGTGATATTATTTTATTTTATTGGAGCCTACTAGACAACCCAACAAACTCACGTCTTTAAACCTTCTACAGATAAGAAAGGTCTCTTGCTGTCCATCGACACGTGCGCTGTAATGTTTTTATCTGTGGACACGTGGCTGGCGATGTTTCATGTGTGGACACGTGGCGGGCGATGCCGACCTTACCTTGTTCTGAGTGGAGTGGATTGATGGCTTTCAAAAAATGATGCCCCTGTTAAAGAAAGCAAGGGGGGGGAGGAGGGGGAGGGAAGGGAAGGGAAAGGGAAGGGAAAGGGATTATTGTCTTTTTTAGCAGAAGAATTGTTTGTTTTATCTTTCTCTCATCTCGTTTCGTTCTTCGACATTTTCCTGTGAGACTATGGCATATCTTCAGTATTAGCCTGCCGTCCTGTCTAGAACGCCACGCACCCGCATCATGACTGTATCGGACCAGAATCATAGCTTGTATACATTCGTTATGAGGGTGCGTTGTGTTGGGGGAAGGCGGTAGCGCCGTCATCACATTCCTGTAGAGACAGAAGCTTCTCTCTCTCTCTCTCTCTCTCCCCCCCCCTTTCTTTTTCTCTTCTCTTATCTGTTTATCAAGCTTGTCATGTGTCTCGCCATCTCCTTTTTTCATCTTAGCCCTGCACAACGCAGCTTTTCATCATGACTGCATCAGACCGGAAAAAATAGCTTGTATACATTCATGATCAGGGTGCGTTGTATTCGCGGGGATACGCTAGCCTCTACTTTGGTTGGCGCCTTTTTCATTTCTCTGTCATCATTTTACCAATCGTTCTTTTTGTCGTTAGCGTGAGCGCGGTCTTCCCTCTTTCTTCTCCCCCTCGCCATTCTTTCCCGCCCTTTTTTCTTTTTCTGTTTAAATATTTTAAAAAAGACATGTTGGTTTTCCCTTCTTTCTCCCCGTCGCTGTTTATTTTCTTGTTGGCATTATTGTTTTGTTTCCGTTTTGCTTTCTTCGTATATTTGTTTTTATCTCAATTTTTTTTGTCGTCTTTTTTTTTTTTGGATTTTGTTTTCCCTTCACTCTGCCGCTAGAATCCCAAAAGTATACATTTTGTTTTCCCAGCATTTTGTTTCTCGTTCTCTCTTTTTTTTTTCGGTTCGGACTTTTTTCACCGATCTTTCGTTGATTTCTTTTTCTTTTTTAACAGTTTTTTTTTTTTTATTAGTCATTTATGATTAATTAATTAATTTTCTCGTACCTGAATTTCAAAAATTTTGGAAAACGTCCTTAGTGGATTGGATTAGTTAATTAATTAATTAAATAATTAATTTTCTCGTACCGGCATATATTCTCTGAATTAAAAGGTGGAACTAAGTGATGGCGGGAAAACGGCGAATGAGTTGCCCGGAGGGTTTGAACCTCTGACCACGAAAGCGAACAAGAATGTGGAATGTGATGAATATTCACAATATGTATGTGTAATTTAATTTAAATTTATTTATTCAGTTGACTTGAATCGTTATGGCTCTTTTCAGAACTATTTATGACTTTACTTTTATCTTAAAAAAAAAAAGATTTGTGAAATTCCCTCAAAAATAGAAAGCAGAGAGGATTGAACACGAAGTACAAAGTTTAATTACTCGTTCAATATGCATGAGGACAAATGTATATGATAGTCGAATAAAATAATCATTTTTTTTTGTTGTTGTTGAAAAAATGTTAATGCTACTATTTAATGTTACGTCATTTAACGAATGCGACGACGAGTTAGCACAAGATGGGTCTCTGTTTCATCTCTCTCCCTTTTGGTTAAAAATAAATTTGATAAAATAGTAATAATTTGTGTGCATTTCTGCTCATCTTTTGTCCTTGTTGCTTTCTGCTACGTGCTGGTTTTTCGTTCTCCTTTTTTTGGTGCATTTCTTTTTTTTTTTTGGTGGTGGTGCGAATACTCGACGAGCTGAAAAATTATTTACTGTGCTGTATCGTGAAAGTGAAAAAAAAAAAAATCTATAAAACACATCTCGTAATAGCTGACAACAAATAATAATAAAAGAAGAATTATGTAACTGTACAGAAATTATTAAAAGTATTAAAAACAGTTATTATTTCGTTATATTCATGAACCAAAAACAATAAGAGTTGTAGCGCAACTGAAATATTGCTCTTGATTTATTGTAGTGAAAAGCAGAGGTGAAGTAGATGGAAGGGGCCCTCTTTGGGCCGATGTCGATGGGTTTGAGAAACCCCCCTCTCGATGTTTGATTGGGCGTGGAAAACCCCTCTCGATTTGTTTTGTGCCAATCATGCGGCGATGAGCAGAGGCGGTGTCCCATCCCGCCAATGATGATGAGATTAGGTCAGTGATACGCCGAGGGTACTTTTCGGACTCGTAACGTGGATAAATTAATTTCAATTAATTAATGCATTGATAAACGAAATTATTTTTATTGGATCATATATACGAGAGAAAACAGGCCATGGCGATGGCGCGAAGGTACTATAGATGGTGCGATTGACACTTTTTTTAAGCTAAACGTCGACAAGTATTCTTTAGGGGAGAGGAAGTAAAGAAAGCTCAGTGTGAAAACGACGATGATGGTGATGATGAGGATGACGATGATGGTGACGATGATTGAAATGGCGGGAATTGTCTTGCTGTCGAGAAATGGCGGGAATTCTTTTGCTGTCGAGAAAGGGCGGGAATTCTTTTGCCGTCGAGTCGGCGGGTCGTTATTCCGATAAAATGACGATTTCGATGATGGATGGTGAGCTGTGGGGGAGGGAGAGCTGAGAGACAAAGTGAGAGAAAGGGGGGGGGAGAGAGAGAGAGAGAGAGAGAGAGAGAGAGAGAGAGAGAGAGAGAGAGAGAGAAATTGGCCTGGGTGTTGGATTTCTTCATGTTGTTGATCACCACAGCAACGATGAAGGCGATCGAGGCGATGGAGGCGAGGGTAGGAAGGTAGAAACGATGGCGGTGCAGACCACATGACGAGCGAATCGACTCCGCAGATGTCGAGGGGAACAACCTCCGTATCCGACTGCAGCAGTGCAAACTGATGATTGGTTCGTGCCCTGAATGATATGATAATATCTATATAGTCTTATTAATAATATTATTATTTTTTAATTGTCGACCCGATCGGAACCATAATTTTGTCGACTACGGCGCCGCCGCTGTGAAAGTGTGAGGAGTCGATCTTGTAATCCAACTTCAAAAAAGAAGGAAAAGAAAAAATGCGAGGAGTGGTTGGTGGCAGTGAATAGTTATAAAACCCACCAGTCAATCGACGACGAAGTTTTGGGTCGGGATGGGCCTCGACGCGACCTTTTTTCTTTTTTTTTTCCTCCGCGTGTTTGAATTGTTGCGTTCGTTAACTCAACTCTATTCTCTCGAGTAGAAGGCATGAGCTTTCGTCTACCTTCATCCGAATACAACTTACGGTAATTATTGCTGCAGTATCTAGACTGAAAGATACCCCAAATACAGTCACCCCAAATACAGTCAGTTACAGGATGACCGTGCGTTGTATTCGTGTGAAGAATGTTGTGTGTGTCTGTCAGTTAATCATCAGAGTAAAGCAGCGCGCGCCTCACTCTCTCTACCACTGCGCGCCGGCTGCCATAGCCATAAGCTCGAGCGATGAAAGTGACGAAAGAATTGTGGACGATCGAGATCTGGTCGTCTTCTTTCTCCTCTCCAATTCTACGCATGGTTATTCAGTATAATCATGTCAGTATTTCGAGCGATTTCCGGGCCAAATACAGCCAGCTGCAATTGCATTGTCCTCTACTCGGCGTGAGAAGGGGGGGGGGAGGGAGCGATACGAGGTGGGGGGGGGGGGGGGGGGCAAGACTCTAGCTTCGCCTTGTAATCTTGTGAGCGACTCGCGCAGCAGGAGAAAGCATCGATTGGTTCCGTCCTCGCTATCGTCGATCCAGTGCCATCATGACTGTATCGGACCAGAAAGCAGGTTGGGTACATTCATGATCAGGGTGCGTTGTGTTCGGGGGGCGGAAGTACATTCCTTTCGAGTGACTGATTGGCTGTTCCTCAGTTGGCGGATATGGATGATGGCGATGCTGACAGGTATCCCGATCTCGCCGATCTCGATTGCAATGACTATGAGACCATGACACCCCCGTTGATCGGTGGCATGATGGACGAGGATATGATGGTGATGATTATGGTGGTGGTGTGATTATGATGGTGATTATTATGGTGGGCTGATTATATAGATGGTGATGATGACTGTGGTGCTCTGATTCTGATGGCAATGATTATGGTGGGTCTGATTATCAGATGGTTATGATGATTGTGGTGGTTTGACTATGATGGTGATGATTATCGTGGACGGATTATAGATGGTGACGATGATGATGATGATGATGATGATAAATCATGCCTTTTGCAACAGCCTATTAATCATAGTAAAGCGTTGCATTGCGGTGATGAAGGTGCCTACGATGGTGCAGGATCGATGAGTCTGTACTTCATCAATTTTTTACTGTGATGGTGGTAACATGTCTTTGGTTGATGATGATCATCGTTGATGATGATCATCGTTGATTGATGATCACGATGATGGTGAAGGTCGAGACCACAGCCATTCTGGTCTGTCATAGCTATGTCGATGTCTTAGCGATGTCGATGACAACGAGCATGACGATCGGAGAGATGGCGATGATGATCGTGATGATGATGATGATGATGATGGCTATGGTGACGTGGACGATGTTGATGACATGGATTTTGACGATGCTGCTGCGATGTCTACGTAGCGCATTGGCACTGGCTATGGCAAGGATGGGAATGGTGATGATGACGGTCTTCGAGATTGCTGTAGCGATGATGACGATGACGGCCATGATCACGTGGTCGGTATGACGATACCATGTTTGGATGTCAAGTCCATCATCATCATCATCATCATCATCATCGTCATCATCAATTGTTGGGCACAGTGACGATGACGATGATGCGTAATGACGATTATGTTGACGTCGTTTGCGATGGACGCGTCATGACGATGAACTCCATGTCGACGGCGATGGTGCGATGACGATGATGACGTCTAACGTCTTAGCGAACGAAAGTGGTGGTGATGGCTTCGATGATGACGACTGCGGTTGTGGTGATGATGATGATGATGATGATGATGATGATTGTTGACGATGGCTTTGATGGCGATGATGATGGTGGTGATGGCGTTGACGATGATGATCAGAATGATGGTGATGGCGATGATGAATGATGATGGTGATGATGATGATGATGATGACGGTGATGGTGACGATGAAACTGTGTTCGTTGCTGTCTCGAGGTGATGTCGATGATCATTGATCAGAATGATGGTGATGATGATGATGACGGTGATGGTGGCGATGATACTGTGTTCGTTGCTGTCTTGAGCTGGGAATCTTTCTGACGGCCACAACGTGACAAGTCTATAATAAACAGGCGATGGTGACTATTGTACAGGTGTTCTCTATGTGATTCTGACAGTGATCACGATAACGATGATAATGACTGATCATGATGATGATAGCGACGATAATGATGATGACAGTGCTGCTGCTGCTGCTGCTGATGATGATGATGATGATGATGATGACAAGGAAGGTGCGGATGGCTGCCGTTGATCATCTCTCACGAGTTGCTGCATAGTGATGTCGTCGGCTCTCTCTCTTTCTCTCTCTTCATGAAACACGGGCGATCTGTCGAGCGAAGTCCATGTCGTCATAGCGATGAGGTAGGGAGGGGTTTAGTCTACAAGCCAATCGATGAAACACGGGCGATCTGTCAAGCGAGCTCCATGACGGCTTCTTTTCTTCCAATCCATTATGAGTGTAGTATCGATTGTCTATTCATTATTCATTTTTTTATCTTGTTATCTATTTATTCTGAGTGAAATGATGACATCCCCTTGTGCCCTAGCAGGGGTTTAGATTTCTGATCAACACTGACGATAACAGCTCGTTGTTAAAAACGTCGTTTTGGCGGGTGACCACGACTAAAGCCTATTTGTGAAGCCAACCCATCAATACCAACCAATCAACCCGCAGGAGGACAAGAACGAACAATTCTTATCCTCAACGATTCATTCGTTCATTGAGGGTTTAGGATACTATTTTTTTTTCTTTCTTTCGTTTTTGTTTATTTATTCTTAATGAATAGCGAGCGAGGATCTGTTCGCTACAGATAGGTACTTCCGGCATATAGCAAGATTTCTTCTTTTGTCTTTGATGCTGTTATTATGAGCGAAAAATTATTGTCCTCATGTCGTTCAGGTTTGTTTCATGAATGTTTGTTCCCTGGATGAACCTTCCTAAAGATCTATTCTCTCTTTATTATCATTGTTCTCTCTCTTTATTATAATTGTTCTCTCTCTTTATTATCATTGTTATTTTCATCATTATTGTCAAAATGAATGGCAACTCAAAGATGTACCTACCTCTTAGCTCCTAAGCTCTCCTCCTCTGGCCGCCTCCTCGTCACCATCGTTCTCGTCCTCATCCTCATCCTTATCATCCTCGTCATCCTCATCCTCATCATCCTCATCATCCTTATCATCCTCATCATCCTCATCATCCTCATCATCATCATTCTCATCCTCCTCCTCCTCCTCCTCCTCCTCCTCCTCCTCATCATCATTCTCATCATCCTCATCCTCATCGTTCATGGTCATCCTTGTCATCCGAACCCATCCTTCTCCTTCTCCTCCTCCTCCTCCTCCCCCTCCTCCTCTTTCTGATTGGAGCCCGATGAACTCTGACAGCCATGTGGTCTCTTTGTTTTGTGGTTTGTCTACTCTGCAGGCTCCTCCTCCCCCTCCTCTATCTGATTGGTGCCCGATGAACTCTGACACCCACGTGGTCTCTTTGTTTTGTGGTTTGTCTACTCTGCACGCTCCTCCTCCCCCTCCTCTTTCTGATTGGAGCCCGATGAACTCTGACAGCCATGTGGTCTCTTTGTTTTGTGGTTTTGTCGTTGTATTACTTGTCTACTCTGCAGGAGAAAGTCGTTGGCGACCCTTTGAAAGAGCCGTTGCCAGCCCCCCCAAACCGGTTCAGTAACGTGATTGAGAAAATCGAGGCACTCTACAAGGTAAGACTTTGGGCTTTTTTTTGGGGGGGGGGTATAAATAATGAATGAAGTGTTTTTTTTTTTTTTGGGGGGGGGGGGGGGATGGTGGTGTATAAATATGGTGTATAAATAACGAATGAAGTTTTGTAAAAGTAAAAGGATGGTGGTGGTAACATGCATGCGCACTCGTTGGCTTGCCAGCTGACGAGTCTTGAAAATGCAACGGATGATGACATGGTCCTTTCTTTTTTTGTAATTTAATTGTAAGGTACGAAAGATGCCCACGTGTTTTGTTGTTGTTCATCAAGTTTTGTCGTTTCTCGCATTGACAAAATCTTTTTTTCTTTTTTTTTGGGCATTTGCAGCTGGATCTATTTCTGATCTTCCCTTTTTGTGTTTTTCTTTGTCAGTTGCGTTTGCGGCTTTTTGTCGCTACTTCGCGGATTCCCCTCCCCTTCTTTTCTAAAAGAACCTGTCCTGTCCCCACCCCACCCCCCAAAAAAAAAAGAAAAGGGGAGAAGGAGCTGTTTTTTGTTTTTTTTGTTTTTTTTTGCTGGAAACAAGGCCAAGGGAATGTGATCAATTCCTCGTTCCAAATCTTCCCCCCCCCCTTCTTTTACAGGAATTTACTTGGAAATTCTAGCTAGCAATTGACAAAAATAAATGACTCCTTCCCTTCCCCCCCCCGGCCCCCCCAAAAAAAACAAAAAAAAACAAAAGCTGTGGACTCTTATTTATACTTCTTATTTTAGACCCCCCTTTCCCTCTCCCTCTCCTCTTCTTTCATGGGTCTCGTATGTCCCTTCCTCCCTCCTGTTTGTGGAGATTCAAAACAGGATGTGTTTGAGGAGAATTAATTAATGTGTTGTCCCATGTGATACCTTTTTGCCGGAGGTTGTGGTGAATTAATTAATCTGTTGGCCCATGTGATACCTTTTTTCCTTTTTTGTCGGATGTGGATGGATATCCACCAACGGATAGGTGAGGTGCGAAAGTTGGATGTTCAGGGGCCAAGTCCCACGAGCAACGTTGAGTTTTCTCAGCGCCTGAATCTGAATGTGTTCGAGGAGATGTGCAGAAGTCGTTTGTGTTTTCGCCACACGTCCAGACTCCAGATTTAGACGCTGGGGAAACTCCGCACTGCTAGTGGGACTTGGCCCCACGAGCATGGTTCTCCACAATTACTGTGCGCACGTGGCTTTGCATGTCGAAAGCTTTGAATAATGAAAATAATTGCATGCATGGTGTAGATTTTTCCGATTGGATTCTACGCACACGTTCGTAGATTTTGACAGTTGCACAATTGCATGCACAGAATTGCATGCGCAGAATTGCATGCACGTTCATAGATTTTGACAGTTGCCTGGACATTGTAGGTTTCGGCAATATTTTTGGGTAGATTTCCACAATCGCGGGTACGTCCATTGTAGATTTTAACAATTGCAAGGATGTGTCGTAAATTTCCACCCTTGCATGGTTGTATGATGCAGACGTTCATGAATGATTGCATGCATGCACATCCTAGATTTCCACAATTTGCAGGTTTCTGTGTTGCGGATTTCCACAATGGCATCTGTGTACGTCACAGTTTTCGACAGTTACGTGTTTGTATGGCATAAATATCCACAATTGCACTTGTGTATGTCTTAGATTTCCACAATTGCGTGTTCATTTTTCAGATTCCCACAACCGCATGCACAACAATTGCACAGGCAGGGTATAGATACGTGGATGTATCTCTGCGGTGGCAATCCAGGGCATTTGTGCAATGGTGGTGGAAAAACGAGGGGACCGACAAGGGGTCATGTTTGGGAAGTTTTGGAAGAATGCTAGGAAGGCGGACTGCGTTTCTTACAATGATCGCCACACGGCCTCCCCCAAATGCAATGCGTTGTCATCACACCTGTTTTTTGTGGCAACTTCACCGTATGCTCTATTTGTGGGAGATAATAAAACATTCCACTAATGACCAACGGGACACCGCAGCGACGACCGCCCATGATGACGGGTACGGAGGATGCATTTCTGCCTTGCTGGCTTCACGTCTCTGCGACTACTTAGTAGGTAGTGTTTCTTTCTGTGAGAGAGTGGTCTGGTAAACTCTGCGATTGGTCGGTGTGTCAGTGATCTGGATCATCTGCTGTCTATTTGGGCTCGCAAGGTTCTTGTAAGTGTAACAAAAAGCAAAACAAAACAAATCAAAACCAAAAGGTTCTGCTGAATGTTCTGGAAGATGACCCGCAAAGGGAGTTGGTTTTTCTGGTTTTCGATCTTTATGAACTTTCAAAGAGTAATGAGCATATTCTCACCCCACTTTTGCACTGGCCCTCTGTGTCTCTTTCACGCAGGGAGGTGGTAGTGATGACGATGATGATGGAGAAGGGCAGCAGAACCGTCCCTATGGGGGCGAGGACACGGATCAATATGACACCCAAGACTCCTTCATTGA